TAAGCTTAGCGTTCGTAAGGCTTGCTTACAAGCGTCCATGATTTAATAGGCGAACGAATTCGAAATGAGAACATTTATTACAATATGAATGTATTTCTTTAAAAAAAAAAAAAAATCATTAGAGTAATCACCAAACAAATTTGCATCGCATTTGACACGAGCTTTTTATGTCCTCTTCACCATATTGAATTTTGAGAGCTTCTTTTCGGTGACTGATTAATCGTTTTGGGTCAGAGTTAAAATCAACAAATCAAAAAACACACTTTAGTTAATAATGACAATTACAAATGCTATAATCACATAAGCTATAGTCATTATCTATCTATCTATCTATCTATCTATCTATGAGAAGTGGTGAAAAGTTTTCAGTTCGTGTAAGACACCCTACTCCCGCCCAAAATCTGATGTTTGTCCAGTTGGTAAAATTTTGAAAAGTAGATCAGACCGAGGAATTTTCAGCACCCATCCGTGTATGTGCTTGTATACATGTATATATTTGTTTAAAAGTGATGAACTGTAAATATATAGACACATACGCATTTAAATTATTAGTATGGCTGCGCGCATATATAACTGAAAATATACCCATATATATTTTTCTTCTTCTGAAGTGTGGATACATTTATATATTTCTCTGTTTATCTATCTATCTATCTATCTATCTATATATATATATATATATATATATATATATATATATATATATATATATATATATATATTATTTGTATATAATTTCACCTTAGTAAATTGCTTCATCTTTTAAAGTAGCTTTTTTTGTAGTTCGAAATTATAGTCAGGCTCATTCCCCTGAGCAACTAATGCATTCTGTCAACGTTTCACTTTTTCTTGGCAGATCTTTCATTATCGTAATGTCGGATAACAATAATAACAAAAGTGATAAAAACATAAACAAAAAGAAAAATAGAAACTAAACAAAATTGGCAAGATTGTATACCCAATACATTTATAACAAAAATGAAGTTTAAAATTTCAGCGTCCCAATATTTTCAGCGTTTCTTTTCTGTCAATAATTATAACCAACGTCTGCGTCTTTATATTCTCCACCCTTCACTTTGTGCGCATGCTTAGCTACTGCAACAGAAACAACTTTTGTCCGATGAAATCCAAAAGAACGAAACATTTGTCATTAATTTTCAAAACATTGTGCTTGTATATAAAAAAAAAAATTATATATCATTTTCTCCTGCAATAAAATATGTATATGTCTTATCACATAACTCAATTTTTCAAAGTCAAATTCACGCTTGTTTAAATTTATTTGCGCGCAAAAGTCGATAAATAAAATCACCAAACGATTCTGAAGTATTTCACATTAGAATTAATCTCTGAAATAATGCTTGCCTAAAAGTTATTTTTCAAAACCATAGCATTTACTTAACACGGGCCTCCAGCACTAGGGAGAAATTTATGACACACCCAAGTGTCGGTCAAGCCCATAAATGCCTTATATTACTGCGCTATTATTTTAATCCTAACCGCCATTGCTTCCTTTTTAAGATTTTCTTTTTGCACTTGTGTGCGTTCCACAGTTTAATAAAAATGGTAACGAAACAATTAAAATTAGTAAAATTAAATCATTCCGTTCTTTTTACGGGTAACTATCTTAATATATACTAAGAATTCCCGGCGGAGGAACCAAGTGACAAAATGTTTATCAAATCTCTAGCAGACTTTAAAGAATTCTGGCAGACATCATCAGTGTTTTATCGTCTTAGTTCTTCGCATTTCTAAATCTTCCGATCTCTTTAGCGCATTATTATTATTATTATTATTATTATTATTATTATTTGCTTCGATATTCCCTCCGATAATGATATCTCAAATCTTACCTGTAGCATTTTCCTCAGCACATGAGATGTTCCAAGTAGTGTTGCCACCTGCACACAATGATGTCAGGTATCGCCAAGGTGTCTCGCGAGGAAGAAAGATTTTTGGACATAGTCCCGAGAAAGTCAAGCATAAAAGAGAGAACTTGATCAGCTGCTTGGAGTATTTCTCTGATCGCCCCCAACCACGCCAAATTTTGGCACCTATATTTTTCCGCCTACTCCGCCTTCACGATGTTCTTATCCAAAGATACAGCAACGTCTCTTAGGATCCATTCATGACTGCGCCTGTATACAAGTGTGCTAACAGGGCGATTTCTCTCCAAGCGCTTGTCAGTCAAGTTAGTCGTATCCCATATGAGTTTCACTTGCTTATTCTCGACTACTCACTGACAGTGGTGAATGTTCGTACCACTTTTTTTTGCACGCCATGGGCTATACATCCTACATAGTTCCGAATGCATTCTGAGGGCCAATTTGTCCTGTTGTCGTCCGTATTGTTTTTGTGCAACTTGAGGGTAGCCACTGACAATGAGTTGCACATTTTCAGCAACTTTCCTAGCTTTCCTAAACATTCTGCCAAAGTATAAATCAGCTGTTTTATGAATAGAGTACTTGGTAGAGTTTGTTCTTAAAACCTGCCCTTGTGC